ACTTCGCTCATCTCTAGTTATGATTGTATAGGAGGTGTGTGTTTATTGCCAGTCATATTGTTCATTTTTGCAGATTGAGTACGGTAGTGGTTGTGGCTTTTTTTATGTGTTTCTTTCATGATACAAGGAGATCAAATTAAATACTACATTGAAATATCCTGACTGAAGAGAGATACTGTATATGGCATCTGTACTGTATTTCAAAAAAGAGTTGATAGGGAAAATGTTGTGCCATTTTTGGAATCAGCAGGTCAAATATACCTAGGAACAGGTCTAACATTTGAGGCATCAAATTGTGTGTTGGCTTGTTTAATATTATTGTAGCTTACCAATCCTTAGGATATGATAGCTGAATTCACCTTCTTTCTTTTTTGTCTTGTTTTTTTTTCGTATTCATCTTGTTGACCCAGACAGCAACACACTTCCTGTCTTAGGCTGTCTGCATTCTGGAAAACTTAGTAAACCAAACACCTTTGGACAGCAACATTGTCTGTCTGGATAGAGGGTAGTGCTAGACTAGCAGATTTAGGTGGACTTGACTAACAAATTGAAGCTGAATTCCAGCTTTATAAGCAGTTACAGAAAATATTTTTTTTCCTTTTGGGATAAAGGATTTACATAAATGAATAATAGCTGACCATGAATGTACCCCTGCCAGTGTTAAATAGTTTGTCTCAACCCTCTAACTGCTCCTTTGTTTGGACAGCTTGGTCTGCTAAAATAAGTTGAAAAATAACAGACTTATATGGGTCATGCCGCCAGATGAAAATAATGAAAAAAAGCCTACAAAAGAAAACTAATACAGCCACCACATCTATGAATTAATAAGCTTCAGTTTAAAAAATTTATATTTTGGGGTTTAAAACTTTTTTAAAGTCTATGTACAGCCTCTTTTTTCCCACAGTGCACAGAAAGTTATAAAAATATTTATGTCAGGATAGACAGGTATTTTTTATAGGTATATGAACAGGTCTAACAAAACTCTTTTGATAGTATATTTAACAACACAAAAGGGAACAAATAAGAAAGTAAATTGTTAGAATTTACATACAATTTAAATACTCTATAAGTAATAGCAATCTAAAAACCTGATTAATTTTTCTCCTAGACTTGGCAATAGACAGCAGCTGTCCCTGAAACTGAGCCAGAACCTCTCTGACTTTAATCTTTGTAATGTTCCAGATTCCTTTTGTGCATGGGTATCTGTAAACTTAAATTTTTCTCTTTTATGTCACTAGTTACATGTAAACAATATATGAATATAGTAATACTTACATGCATATCATATAAATTCAGACCTAAGAAGAATTTGGATTCTTTTGTAACATGTTTTCATATACTTTTTTTCTACTTTCTACTACATGAAAGTGACTTTAAGGCCATTTTAACAATAACAATGTATTCTTTCTTTTTTTTTTCTCCATGCTGCAGTTGGCTGGAATCCTTTTATTGTGAAAGATGTCCCAGTAATTGCTTATATACTTGGTGATTGAAACAAGCTCTTCACAGCAGCATCTGTTTGTTTGGACTCAAGACTTCCAGTAAGCATAGTTCACTTTGTATATCATTATATCCATTTATTTTTCTTAAACTTTCTTTTTTTAATCATCTGTAGTTGTCTCACACTGTGATGTGATCATTTTTGTTATTGTTTATGACTGATGAAAAAAATCAGATATATGTTTGATTCCTTTGCTTTCTCTTTATGAAGGATAACTATGCATGCTCATTGTTCAATTGATTCCATGTCACAGGAAAGTCAAAGCATTGTAGGTGTAAAGTGATCAAAAAATATTTTTTGTCTTCAGTGTTTTCTGTCTTGTTGGTATACAGTATATAAAGGTGTATGGTTCTTTATTAGACATATCTACAGCAAACCATCAAGCAGTCTTGGAATATGTTGGATGCAATGGGTACAGATGCTTTAACTTTGTTAAATAGAATGTATAAAAGTGTACATGCATTTCTTTATTTTGGGCAACTTTAAAAAGCAAAAAAATATATATTTTCTTTGGTAGATATTTAATATTGTATATTATACATTTACATTTGTTAGCCAGCAAGTGGAGCTCTAAGCTATTTTTCTGATATTCACAGTCTGCTGAAAAAAACCCTCTTGTTTATAGGCTCTTTAGCTCAAGCTGCAGTTTAGTCTTGTCACAATGGTGTCTCATTGCAGCAATGCATCCTGATCAAACAGCACAGACAGTAATTTCAAAAAAACATTTGTAAATCTGGTTCAAATAATGCAGTGGTTAACCCCAAGGTGCTGAGGCCTCCTGGCCCTTTAAGGGGTTTGTGACGCCTAGAGGCAGGGCGGGATTTAGGGTCATGTGACTGCTGAAATTGGCTGTTCACATAATTGGAAAGCTCCCGACCCCAAGTAGTGATTGAGACCTTTCCGTGAGGTGCCAATAACTGTGCTGTGTGCGCGCTCTCGGAGCATGTTTTGTTTACATTTGGTACACCAGTATGCAGTCCCTCTGCACAAAGGCCCAGCTACTGAGAGGTCGCATATTTGCATATGAAAAAAAAAATAGTCTTTGAAATGCCCCCCCTTACACTGCAAGGGTTTAATGCTCATTTTTAAATAGAGAAAAATCCTCCTGCGCTTCAATGGATAATCCCTAACCTAAGATGCTCACACCCACTCTTTGTACCAAAAAGTGAACACAGATAAATAACTAAATGGTGTAGTGCTGTAGTGCTAATAAATAACTGCATACTAGGGTATAACAAAAACATACAAATACCAATAAGTAAATAAAATAATAAATCACACGTGACACACAAAACAAGTGAATAATGCCACAAACCTATAAAGTGAATACACTGGCAAAACCCCCCTTATCCCTAACTGGGGGATCAAATCACAAATATAATGTCAGTGAATAAAGTGACTCCCTCCTCTGGGGAACGCAATACACATATAAGTTAAAGGTCCACCCCTATTGGGGAAACAGTTCGTACAAAGTGATGTGTTACAAAACACTTAATTGCAGCAAAACAAACAATAGGTGATACATAAATATTGTTCAGTCCATACAAAAGTCCACTCTAACAAACTCTTGTGAACACGAATGAAACAGCAAATCGTGAAAGTGAAACTTGTGCCAACAATCGTGATGATACCCTTAAGTGGCCTGAGTGCCCCCTTACCTCCTTACAGTGACCACACGGGCCAGCTCGCTTAATGGATCAACCACGTTCCTCACAGGAACTACCACGTCATTAGAAAGATGACCGCACTGGATAACCTCAGTAGAGCCAATATTCCTCCTGAACTCCCTCCAACCACTGGATAATCTTGCAATGCCGCTCACATCAAAGAATCATAATAGAAACAAAAAAAATCCTCCATAGTGTAAATCAGTAATTTATTAAAGTAAAAACAGCCAAAGAATGCCCACTCACATAATAATGGATTCCAGTAAGCCTTTCACCTCATATAATGAGTGTACTGCATGATTTCCTGGTGTCCCAATATGGCACCCGCACCGGAAGTGACGTTGCCGCGCATCAGTAGTCCTGTCAGAGCTTACCAACACGTTACGTCATGGTGATCACATGACTTCTTCAGGGATATACCCAGTATGTACCAGTATGCACCAGTATGTTGCTGGTCCTTGTTGGGTATATGGTATATACAGTATGTAACAGCAGAGAACATGGGAATATGATGAATCGGGTCTGTGGACCACTATGACTGAAACTCATTCATTTTTTTAATGCCCATGTTGAGGGTTAGTCCCCAAAAAAGGTTTACATTCAGAAACTTTGATAGGTTGCCATGTGAATTGTCTGGCAAATGGTGAATTTGAGTGGGTAACCATGTATTTTTTGTGCTTATAAATTGCTTTGGCCCACAATAAATTGGTACAAATCTTTAGTGAAAAAAAGTGGAGGGGCTAAACACTATTCCTGGCAGTGAACGGGGCTGATCCTGCTAACACTGCATTTTTGGGGACACAATACAAAGGAGGCACGAGTATAATTCTGTTTGTGATCAATATATTGATACGTATAAACACTGTACTAGTAATGATGGTGATCAGTGACCTATAGCTTGAGTGCGATAGTGTGTGGGCAATCCAACGCTAGCTGACCCTGGCTGGGAAATGGAGCTTACAGACCCTGATGCTATCTGATGTCACTAGTGTCAGTAATACAGTGATCAGTGAAAAATTCTATATACTGACACTGTACTAATGGCACTGGCTGGGTGACAAAGTGATCAAAGGGTTAATAGGGGTGTTCAAAGAGTTAAATGTGCTAATCTAATGTGCGCCTGTAAAATGTAGTGCTTTGTGGTGTTCTCTCTTCTCTCCCTGGACCATTGGGGGAGGGAGGGGGGGTTTGGTAGCAGGGGGCATAGGCGCGTTCACAATCTAATAAATTCTGATGTTCCAAAATGGTCGGGCTCCTCAAAAGATACAACTGGACTGTATAGGAGGCGTGTGAGGCTCTGTAGGAATTATGCAATAATGTAAACCTAGTTATTAAAGCTGCCGACAAGAAGGAGAACATTGTACTTATGGACTGGGACAGATATCTGACTATGTGTGAATTCATTCTGTCTAATAGAACCTGGTGCACTCCCATTTTTCATTTAACCACAAGCCTACAGGGCACTTATACCCCCTTCCTGCCCAGGCCAATTTCCAGCTTTCAGCGCTGTCGCACTTTGAGTGACAATTGCGCGGTCATGCAACACTGTACCCATATGAAATTTTTATCATTTTTTTTGTGACAGAGCTTTTTTTGGTGGTATCACCTCTGGGTTTTTTATTTATTCTTAAACAAACCAAAAACCATGTTTTTTTTTCTTAGTTTTTGTTATAAAATTTTGTAAATAAGTGATTTTTCTCCTTCACTGATGTGCACTAATGAGGCTGCAGTGATGGACACTGACAGGCATCACCTATGGGCACTGAAAGGCAGCACTGATACATGGCACTGATAGGCGGCACTGATTGGCACTGTTGGTTGGTACTGACAGGCACTGATAGGTGGCACTGTTGCATACTGATAGGCGGCACTGATTGGCACTGATAGGTGGCTCTGATTCACATTGATAGGTGGCACTGACTGGCACTGATGGGTGACACTGAAAGGCAGCTCAGATGGGCACTGATATGTGGCATTGATGTGCACTGGTAGGCACTGATATGTGGTATTGATGCGGCACTGATGGGCACTGGCACGAGGCACTGATGAGCACTGACACAAGGCACTGATGGACAGTGACAGGTGGCACTGCTGGGGCTACACTGATCATCAGGGCACACTGATCATCAGTGCCCTGATGATCAGTGTACATGTCCCTTCCACAGAAAGCCAATTACCGGCTCTCCTCTCAAGCTATCAGCGTGACAGCTCGTGAGGAGAGAAATGCCGATAACTGGCATTTCCCTGTTTACATGTGATCAGCTGTGATTGGACACAGCTGATCACATGACTGAGCCGATATCTTCGGCTCTTTCTGTGATCGGTGATCCACTGTGTCCGAGGGACACAGCACACTGCCGATCGCCGTGCTGCACACCGCATGCGTGGTGAGAATGGGAGGACGTCATATGACGTCCTCCCAGAATAAGAAAACCACCTTGCGTCCGTCATATTACTATATGGCAGGTGTGAGGTGGTTAAACATGGAACAAGATAAAAAATTACTCTTTAAGATCATTGATAGGGCATATTGTAGCAGAGTTATTGACAAGGAGACAGTGGAATATTTGAAAGTAGAGTTCCCAAAGGTTTTTTATACATTGCCAAAGTCTGCCATGTTCCAGGCCATCATATTAGTTCTGGACAAGGTTCACTTACAGAACGGGTTGGTAAATATATTGATCAAATTCTTCAACCATTTGTCACAAGCTAACCTTCTTATGTGAGTAATACTTTACATTTACTTACATTTTTACACAGCCTGGTGGTTCCATGACAGACTAAACATAAAGGCCGTGTATTCTTCTATACCCTATGATTGGGGATTACAAGTGATACATAAGTTCCTGGTACACAAGCTTTAAACAAAAATAGACATAACATGTGTGTGTTGTTAAAGCGGAGCTCCACCCAAAAGGGGAAGTTCCACTTTAAGGACTGCTTCCCATGAAGGATTGGCACCTTTGGGGGGCAGGGGGGGACGGGTACCTAAATTTGACAGGTACCTGCTCCCACTTCTGGTCTGATTGCCTAGGTGATCGGAAGCGGAAGGTGTCCTTGCTCCCTCCCTGTAGTCTTTTGGGACACATGGCAGATCCCAGAAGACTGCAGGGCCATTCATGAAGTGCAGCACTACTCACGCATGCGCAGTGGGTACCCAGCTGTGAAGCCGCAAGCTGTCACAGCCTGGGTGCCCACACTGAAGATGCCGGCCTCCTGGAATACAGGACGGCCTGTGAAACGGGCTGTGGGGGACACAATGCGGGACCGAGGGACAGGTAAGTGGCTGTTTTTTAAAAGTCAGCAGCTACAGTTTTTGTAGCTGCTGACTTATTTTTTGACAGGGTGAGTGAAACTCCTCTTTAAGCTCCTATTAACACTCAACAAGTTTACATTTAATCAACCATATTTTTTACCAGGCACCATACACTGACATGGGCACGGAGTGTGCCCGGCATATGCCAATGTTTACCTAGGTGACTAGGAGACCTGGCTCTTTACTGGAGAGAAGGCATTGTCTGTGTACCAGGCCAGGATTTTGTCCTTGTACAGGTTTACTGACTACATCCTCATCCCAAGGACATGAACTAAACAGGAGGCCCAGGAATTTGTCAACAGTTTTTGTGTGTATGTGTGTGTACTATCTGAAGATGTTTTAATCTTTGATATTTCTTTTTCCTGTGTGTTTACACTTATTGTTTACCTTTTTATCTTTGAGTACTATTTGGGGAATAATTTGGTATATTTATATAATATTTTACTGTCTATCACTATATTTTTCTTGTTTTGTTTTTTTATATATTGTTTTGTGCTGGAGTTTGGGGACAGCCATGGTTATATTGAGGATTTAATTGTCAACAGGGTAGGATACAATGTGCCATGTTACAAGCTAATTAAAGTCCATATGCGTTGATGTGGGCACCGCTCCTTGTTAGTCTTCCAGTGACGTCTGATATGTGCCATAACTTAATCTGGTTCTACCCAGCTCATATATGGGTTGGCCTTACAATGTATTCTATTTGAAGACTTCTCCACAGACTCTGTGATATATAGCCACATGCAGTGTGGCCTATCTACACTGTCTGTATGTGGGATGGTCATATAATACGTTCTATTAAAGAATTTCTTCATGATTCTGAATGATATTAAGCCACATGTTGGCCCTACAATATATTCTATCAGAGGATTTTTCCAAGGACGCTGAATGATATTTAGCCACACACAGTGGCTCACTTTTGAATACCTATATGGAGGAGAGGTTTCATTTGTGTGATTAGTTCACATGACCTATGCCCCTACTGGGGTATATATATATTTGGTAATATCTTTCAGCACCATTCTGTCTTCTTTTTTTGGGGGGATGCCTATGCACTATTTTTCCTGCAGCTGCTATGGTTGGGTTTTTAACTAAAAGCTATGTTCTAGATTTAATAAAAATATATTTTGTTCTATTATTACACGTGTCAGGCTAATTACTGGGTCTCGCACATCTATTTAGGGACATATTAAATTATGATAAATTGAATTTGAGCTTTAGTCTGCATTTATGTTTTTTCATATACCGTATATACTGTGTGTGTGTATATATACACATACATACATATATACATATATGTATACACACATACACTGTATATATGTACCAACAGTTCCCTCATACGACATCCAGGGTGGCTTTGTCAGAGGGATTGGAGCTTAGTGTGGCATAGCCGGTATTTATGCATTTCGCTAAGATCAGTTATAGTTATCACACTTGCAGTGCTTAGATTAAAGATGCAGAACAGGAATAGACCTTGAACTTCCATTGCAGTAATCAGACAGGACAGCCATCAGTCCTGCAATGTGATACTGATGTACAGAAGATGATTATCTGTGAAAACAGAAAGCGTTAGATAAAGTGTAAGTTCACCTTTGGCACTAAAAATCTAATTATTTCAGTTATCAGGCCTAACATAAATAACAATCTTAAATTGTATAATTATTTCTTTGTAAAATTTGCTCACCCCTGTGTTCTGGATATTTCATTTTCTGGGTTATAAAAAAAAAAATACAGTCTAAGCTCACTTCCTTCTGGCAATGTCATCTGGAATTGTAATTCACTGAGCGAATAAGAAACTACAAGTCCCATGAATTATTGCATTCTCTGTGTGCCTTTATAGGAGGGGATGCTCAGGCACATAAACTAGCATTTCACACTGCTCAACTTAACTGTCTCCGCCCACCTTTGATCTCCACACTGTTCAGACTTGGGGGGGAGAGCCTGAGAAGGCACACATTCTACAATCAAGATAGCGCACGTAATGAAAAGAATAAGAATATTAAGGTGCCAAAGATGAAAAACATTGCAACATCCCATAATAAACTTCTGCAATGTAGAACATTCATTGTGCAAGAGGTTTGTGTCAAATGTATTTATATGTATCTTTCTCTATATATACAGTATATACATATACATTATATTGCCAAAAGTATTGGGGCACCCCTCCAAATCATTGGATTCCAGTGTTCCAATCACCTCCATGGCCACAGGTGTATAAAACCAAGCACCTAGGCATGCAGACTGCTTCTACAAATGTGTGAAAGAATGGGTCACTCTCAGGAGCTCAGTGAATTCAAGCTTGGTAACGTGATCACCTGTACAGTAAGTCTATCCATGAAATTTCCTTGCTACTAAATATTCCATGGTCAACTGTTAGTGGTATTATAACAAAGTGGAAGCAACTGGGAACAACAGCAACTCAGCCATGAACTGGTAGGCCACGTAAAATTACAGATCAGGGTCAGCGCATGCTGAAGCCCACAGTGCTCAGAACTCACCAACTATCTGCAGAGTCAATAGCTAAAGACCTCTAAACTTTGTGTGGCCTTCAGATTAGCACAACAACAGTGCGTAGAGAGCTTCATGGAATGGGTTTTCATGGCCGAGCAGCTCCATCCAAACCTTACCAAGTGCAATGCAAAGCTTCAGATGCAGTGGTGTAAAGCATGCAGGAGAACCGTACTTGCTGACTGCATTGTGTCAAGTGTAAATTTTGGTGGAGGAGGGATTATGGTGTGGGGTTGTTTATCAGGGGTTGGGTTGGCCCCTTAGTTCCAGTGAATGGAACTCTTAAGGCATCAGCATACCAAGACATTTTGAACAATTTCATGCTCCCAGCTGTGTGGGAACAGTTTGGGGATGGTCCCTTCCTGTTCCAACATGACTGCGCATCAGTGCACAAGGCAAGGTCCATAAAGACATGAATGAGCAAGTATGGGGTGGAGGAACTTGACTGTCCTGACCACAACCCAAAAGAACACCTTTGGGATGAATTAGAGTGGAGACTGTGAGTCAGGAATTCTCGTCCAACATCAGTGACTGACCTCACAACTGCGCTTCTGGAAGAATGGTCAAGCATTCCCATAGATACACTCCTAAACCTTGTGGACAGCCTTCCCAGAAGAGTTGAAGCTGTTATAGCTGCAAAGGGTGGGCCAACTCAATATTGAACCCTACGGGCTAAGACTGGGATGCCAGTCAAGTTCATGTGTGTGTAAAGGCAGGCGTCCCAATACTTTTGGCAACATAGTGTATGTGTGTGTATATACAGCAAATTTATATACACCAATATGCCATAACATTATGATGACCCACCTAATATTGAATAGGACACAATTGCCACCAAAATAGCTATGACCTATTGAGACATGGACACCACTAGACCTCCAAAGGTATTCTGCGGAGTTTGGCATCAAGCTGTCAGTAGTATATCCTTTACATCCTGTAAGTTGGGAAGTGGAGTGTTCATGGGTCAGACTTGTTTTTACAGCATATCCCAGAGATGCTGAATGGATTGAGAACCGGAGAATGTGGAAGCCAAGTCAACACCTCAAACTCATTGTGTTCCTCAGATCATTTCTGAACCATGTTTACAGTGTGCCAGGGTGAATTATCTTGCTGAAAGAAGCCACTGTCAGCAGGAAATACTGTTTCCATGAAGGGGTGTACTTGGTCAGCAACAATGTTTAGGTAGTGGTACGTGTCAAAGTAACATTCACATAAATAACAGGACCAAGGTTTCCCAGCAGTACATTGCCCAAACCATCACTCTTCCTCTGCAAGCTTGCCTTTTTCCCATAGTGAATACTGGTGTCATCTCTATCCTAGGTAAGTGACCAACACACATGCAGCCATTCACATGATGTAAAAGAAAAAGTGATTCAACAGACCAGGCCACCTTCATCCATTACTCCGTGGTCCAGTTCTGATGCCTATGTGCCCATTGTAGGCAATTGTGGGTGTGGACATGGGTCAGCAAAGGCACCCTGACCATTCTGTGGGTACGCAGCCCCATACACAATAAACTGCAATGCCCCTTTTTTCTGTTTCAACATATCTTCTTTAGGCACAACATGGTCACTTG